CCACAGCTGCAGCAATCGCAAAACTCTCTGAGCCCTGCTCTCAGCAGGGAGGGCGCTGCCCACAGCCAGCGCGGCGTTCAACATGGTCTTGTTGAGCGGCTTTGTGGAAAAGCGCAGCTGGTCCTTGAACCGGGCCTGCAAGGCTCCGAATGTCTTCGTCTGGTTGGCCTTCTCGGCCTTCGGGAGGCCTTCGACGATCGCCGCCACCTTGTGAGCAAAGGTGAGGAAGCTGTCCTGCAGCGCGGACAGGTCTGCCACGGCATTGGCCGCCCCAACACTGGCCTGCCCGATCACGATCCGGCACGCGACACGAACATCGACATTGGACCTAGGACTTGCACAAAAATTGGGACCGGGGCCGTTCTCCCAAAAGCTTGTCCAAAAAAGGTTCCACACCCAGGCACGGCAGCCACCTCCGCAGGGCCAGCCAGCACTCGAATCAAAACTGTGGCAGTGAGGGCGCTCTCCCACAGCAAGCGCAGGGCCTCCAAGTCGGTGTCCACAACGCACTTGTAGACCTGGCACCACCAGGCCCACACGAGGCTGTGCCCGTGCAAAAGCTGCAGGCCGCACGGCCAACCGCTAGCTTCGTCCGGAATGTTCTCTGGTGCCACGTAGGCCTCCATAGTCATGGGCCACAGCATTCGGCATCGCCCCCCTGCGCCCGGGACAGGGACAGCGCGCAAAAGGTTCGTAGCAGCCATGACCTCGGGCCACCACACCTGCACATAGCTGCTATTGGGAAGCATATGCAACCAATGGATCGAGCCGCCAGCTTCGTAGAGCCGCTCGGCCCGCAAAGATTTGGCACAATTTGCCATGTGGAAGCTTTCCTTGTAAGTGCTCCTGTCGGCACCGGAGGGAGCAAAGGGCAAGGGTCCAAGGCCGTCCAAGGTCTCTGATGGCTTCAGCCAGCCGTTGTCTGCAGCCAACTTCTGCAGCTGCGGCTTGGTCCACTCCACAATCTTGGTGATGATGGGCGCAGCATCGCCCACAAAATCCTCGCTCGGGAGAACAGGCCGCGTCGGTGGGCCGGCGTGGCTGCCCGTGGACTCGGCCCGCACTGCGTCTGCAGGCGCCGCCTCTGGCTCTGCTTTGGCTGGCGCTGCCGCGGGCTTAGCCGCAGGTTTGGCCTTCGCCTTTTT